CTTGCTTCCCCTGCCTCCTGCCTGATCCTGCTGCTTCCTTCTGTGTTCCCTGCGTGGTGTGCCATGCTGTACTTCTCGTTTCTAGGGGACTCTGGGTATAATAAACTTCCTTCATGACAGTAATTTCTGTGTCTGCATATTTTACCATATCTAGTTAACACAAATCCTGGGTACCATTAAAACACCCCACATAATGATAGAATTGGCAGCTAAAATTATTTGGGTTTTCTTTCATCCCACCCTCTATGCTCAGTAAACAAGATTAAAACTTTTTGTTTTTTACATTACCTCATCTGGTCCATGTTAACGATACTTAATAAAAACAATTATATGTAAGTTCCTCTAGTGAATAACCAAAAAGACTTAATTATTTTCTACTATATGAAAGAGCAAGCTCTAGCTATCTACCATGTCACTTCACAGCACCCACCATCATGCCACATTGCTTCACTGTACTTGGGGACAGGCAGTAATGACATTCTGCCCACATCATCTTCTCCCCCTGAGCTAGCAGGCTGGAAACCCACTAGTTACCTCAATCTGTTAGATACGTGTTCAGAGGGCCCACATTTCACTGGACCAGGAGCTGGGTGTGTCTTTGCAAGTCTAGCTGTTACACTGAGTATGGGGTTATTTGGGCAAAGCTAATTGGCTTTAGATCCTGAGACTGCTTCAGAGAAGTTGCTAAGCTAGTTTCTGTGCCATTCCTTCTGCTGGCATCTTCATCTAGCTTCCTGTCCTTGGTCTAAAAGTGCACTCTGCTTGGGCAGGCAGCAGCAGTTGGGAAGCAGAGACACTGGCATATGGAGATCTGTGTTGCCCAGCAAGGTTTTTTTCTTTTTTAAATTTTTCTTTGTAACATGTCAGAATGTAAAGATGGCCATTTTGGGGGGGGGGGTCAAAAAATGGACTTTAGGGCAATATACCTAAGTTGATATAAATATTCTTAGGGATGTATTTCCAGGAAAGGTCACAAGCACGGAGTTTTGCTTCAGAGAGGTCTACTGAAGGTATAGACATTTCCCTGTTAATTCTGATAGACGTTAAATGTACAATAGGACAAGTATGTAAAATTGGACTAAGTATAGAGTTCAAGAAATTAATGACTTTAGATCATACAAGAGAACCAAAATGTAACTTGTTATGTATTCCTTCAGTGATCATGATGAATAAAATATATATGGAATTTTTTTTTCTATCCTAAACTAGCTTTGTAATGGTATATTTGAAATAAGACTCTATAAATTAAATCCAGGATTGCATGCTGGCCTGCTCTCCTTTTTCACATTTGGCATTTCTGTCAATGTCATAATTTTAAGAATATGTATTCCAATCAGCAGGAGGGTAGTGAGCTACTCAATGTGTCTCCATGGCTTCCATGGAGGATATTTACTCACTCACTCTACAGATATTTTATGGAGCAGGTTTACTATGTATAACAGACTGTCTTATGTAATTAGTATATAGCAGACAACAAAAGACAGAAGCTTGAAGTCTAATACCATGAATGGCTGGAGGAATGAATGGATGGATGAATACATAAAAAATGTAACCAGGTGAGGGATCATGAAACTAAGTAAACAGAGCTTAGCATATTTCATTGATAAGATTCCTTTTTCACATTTTAACATCCCTGAAATCAAGATCTGTCTTAATATTTATGGCATATTAAAATTACTGACAAGTTTGCAGTACTCACAGCACAACTGTCATGTCCCTGCACATGCATAAACTTGGTCATGGCTATTCATTTTGTTTTCACTTCTACTGAGTTATGGGCATTGTTGGCACTGCACGTGTTCTGTTTAATTGCTAATGAAATGTTTTCAAAAAGATTACACTATCATTTGGCACTGCAAGGAGACATTACTGAGTATGCATGAAGGCACCGAAACAGGAGTGTGACATAAACGTTCTATTACTAAAGGAAACATTTGTCTTTGTTTGGCATATATCATTTTATAAAGCAAGACCAAATGCTTTGCCAGACTGAATAAAGAAACACAGGAGTTAATGAAGCTATGTTATAGTTTCTTACTGAGATTCATGCAAGTGGGTTTTCCATCACACCCCAAGCAATGCTACCAATAACACTGGCAGGAAAAAGTACCAAACCCAAGGAAGAGATGAAGAAAACTTGAAAGCAGTGAGAGACTAGAGTGACCTATTCATGCATTATCATGGAAGAATATCCTTAAAGTGGAATGTCATAATAAAATTGGCAGTATTTGTTGATTCTGGATAGTTTTAAGTTATAGGGTATTGCAAATGCACAACTTTAGACAAACTACCAAACTACAATTTCAATAATTTGGTATAGTTTTACAGATCACTAGTCACTTTAAAAAGTCTATTCACTCTTACTTCTAACAATGTTTTGGGCACGTCTCCCATTCTGATGTAAGAGCGCGATGATAAGAAAGCCTGTTTCACTTTCCCAACTTTAGTAGGTGCTGCTTTGATTTTTGCCAGTTTACAGATATTAGAAGGGAGGTGCTGGATCTGTATTCTAAACTCAAACCTTACTACTGCTACCAAGAATGGAGTGAAATACTTGGACGGGAGAGTCCATTTGAAATCTCAAAGCATGCATATGGGACTTTGAGATTCTTAGTACAAGAGTAACATGAATCAAATGCCAACTATAAGGATATGTTTCCAGGCAGCATATGGTCACAGCTCAAAACCGAACTTTTTTTTAAAAACTTACTACAGCAAATTATTTTGGAACCAGAGACAGTTAAAAATCATACCAAAAAGAGCGCGCACACACGTATACACACACCCCTCTGGGGAAGAGAAATTATAAAACAATGGATATAGATTATAATAGAAATAATTTTTAGGCACATCTTCAAAACTTACTGTGTCACAACTGTGCCATCAGTTTTTGATACTATTCAGCCAAGCAACAACTACTTTAATGTAGAAGTGAGTATCATATCAGGAATAAGCATGTGGCTACGTCCACCACAAAGACAACAGGGAGAGCTTTATATGGTGAACACATATTTCAGTAGTGTTAAAAATAGACCGCACCATATATGTGGTATTTCCCACTATGCAGAAGGCCTGCTTTCTGTTCCTAGGGCTCTATGTTAGTCTCCTTTCTGGTTTGCACTGAGAATTCAGGGATTCCCTGAACTAATACCACTTTCCCCAGTGACTTCATTTCAGTCTTTCCTTCTAGGTAGACTGGCCTGGGTCGGAAATTCTCTGACAGTTGGTACAGGAGAACAAGTGTGCCAGTGTGAATGCTGCAGGGGATGTGTTGTTGCCAACTGATGGGGTGTACTTCCATATGCAGAACTAAAATAGACTTGGATGATTGAGAGTAGAGACTGCTCCTTATGCGCCAGTGAGGGAAACACTTGGTTACCTGTCTTCTGGGGCCATCTTATCTGAATGAATGAGGTGGGTTTACATGACTGGGTATTTCCATCTGACTTATATGCTGGAGATGGGGTGGGGAGAGTCTGGGGAGCACCAATGTGGCCCTTCAGTACATGTGCACACAGTTGGGGGGTTCCCAGAGGGAAAAAAACACTCTGTAAAGGGGTCTGATGTACCAGGCCAGTAGAGCTAGCATATGATGCCACCGCATTACAATGAAGGCAACTCTCAAGAACTGGGAGACAGCACAGAGCATGGGCAGGAAGTCAAACAGATCCAGGTTCAAATCCTGCCTCTATCACTTACTTGCCCAATTATCTGAACTCTTTAAATTCAAAAAGATGGGGAAAATAATAATAATACCTCCTTAGAGTGATGGTGAGAATTAAAATAATATATGTCCACACCTAGTAATGTGTCTGGCGAATAGAATGTGCTCATTGTGTGGACACGACTGTGTTGCCTCTAAGGAAACTCCCTTAAATGTAAATGTTTTTACAGATATGATTTTTAGCATGGGGGTAAATCATATAGACCACAAAATGGCCTTGGCTACGGTGTTTCAAGGGAATTATGAAGTTGTCTTATGGTAGGAATACATCTTGATAAGAAAGAAACATGTAAATGTGAGAATCCACATGTGATCAGTGAGAATGAAATAGAATTTACCATACATTTGTTGAGATTTGCTTAATGGCAAGACTATGTGATATTTCATGTTACTACCTCCACCCTGAGCCGCTTTATGGTCGATGTGTTCCTCAATCTTGTGTAAAACTCTAAGCATCACTTCTCTGCACTGGAGGAAGTTTTGTAAAGCAAATAACCCCCACCTAATCCACCTTGCTATGAAGGCTGAAACTTTCTCCCATCTTGGAGGGGACAGACATGTGTTCTGTATTCTTTGCATTGGGCTATCACCCTGAGAGGTGAGCCATAACTTCGAACCACTTTGGTACGCTCCGTAGAACCCTTTCCAAAACTGCAAACGCCGACTGAAAGCATCGGGAATAAGAAAACGCTAAAGAATCGACAGAGTAATTATCCGCACCTTGGACATACTAGTGTTTGAGGATCTTTGATTAGACTGCACGGTAGATTTAAATTTTTGAAGCTCTTAGAGCATAGACCTCGGTCGAGTCCACTCTACGCAGAGATAACATGGGGCCACTAACTACCTGCTGCACTGTTTTCACACTATGCCGGCTCTGGGTGCCGTCTCCACAAAGCTCCCTCCCCAGGGGGATTCCCACAGAGGAATTTTCTCAAGGAAGGTCCCGTGTCAGGAATGCTGCTCGGGTACGGGTTCCCACCAGCCTACACGCAGGGCACGGGCTCACACGGCAGGGTGGGCTGCCTCTTTAAAGGCGCGAACCTCAGGGACCCCCGAGTCTGGCTCCTCAAGTCTGGGCATCAAACTTTCTCCTAGAACAAAACCTCTTCGAACCCACAAGGAGACAAGAGGAGGACAGAGCCCGGGGATGCCATCAGCTGCGGCCGGGAGACAGCGCTCCCACCCCCGCCCGCTTCCCTCAGCCCCCACCCTCTTCCTCCGAGGGAAGGCGGCCCCGGCTGCACAGCCCCGCCCGGCCCCACCCACTCGCTCCCCGGCCCACCGCCCGGGCGACGGAGCCCACAGCCTCACAAAGCCACCTCCCGGGCGCTGCGGTTCCCCAGGGCGAGGGGCGATCCGGGGTGAGTACCTGAGGAAGAGGCCAGGACACCGGCGCCGGACGAGACCCGCAGCATCGCCCGGGCGCCGCTGCCGTGGTTGCCACCGCCCGAGGCTACTTCGCTGCGCCGAGCGCTGGAGCCGCGGGGACCAGGTGCTGCCGCCGCCGCCTGCGCTCCCTGCGCTAGCTGCGCCCGGGATAGGCTGCCCGGCGACCGCCACGGTCAAGCGGAGCCCCGCCCCGTGCGCGCCCGGCGAGTCGCGCCCCCCCCCCCGCCCCGGACGCGCCGCCGCCCCGATTGGCTGCGGGAGTCGCTAGCCCCGCCCCTGCCTGCCGCGCTCCTCCCACGCCGGGGGCGCGCGCGGCTGGCGGCCCCGCGGCGGGCGGACTCTCCAGGGCGCAGCGGGAGGGTGCGGTCCGAGCTGGGCGAGGCTTCCTGCGGGCACCGGCGCGCTCGGCCTCCGCTCCTGGGCGCTGCAGTTGTCCCTCTCCTTGCCAGCCCAGAGACAAATAGAAGGCCAGAAAGAAAAGAAAAAGAGAAAACATCTCTAGAGCTCTGCACGGGGAGGGCAGTCGCCGTGGCAGCAGTGGTGTGAAATCTTATTGGTATAAACTCGTTTCTTACGGAAGCCCAGGAAAGGCTGTCTAGGGTGGAGCATTGGAATTATCACCAAGGCTTTTTTGTTTTTGCTTTTTTTTTTTTAACCTGCAGGTGTCCTTACACACCTCTAGACGTCTTTATCTTATGAAGAAACTAAATCCAGTTAAACAACTTGTCCAAGGTCATAGAGCTGGTTGCAGGTTGATTGTGTATTTCGATGTTAAAGCTGCCTCAGCTTTTATTTCTTTTCCGTCCGAGAAGAGTTGCATTCTCATACGTTGTGCTTTGTATACTGTAAAGCAAGGAATCAGTTAATAATGCAGAGATAGAAAGTAGATTCGTGGTTGCTGGGGGTGGGAGGACTGGGTAAGTAATTGCTATTGGGTAGGGCTCTCTTAGGGTGTTGAGAATGTTCCGCAGTTTGATAGTGGTGATGGATGCACAACTCTGAATAGTCTAAAAACCACAGAATCGTACATTTTAAACTGCTGAACTTTATGGAATGTGAATAGTATCTCAATAATTCTGATATTTAAAAATGTTTTGGGCGGGGCAAGGTGGCTCATGCCTGTAATCCTAACACTTTAGGCGGCCAAGGTAGGTGGATCATAAAGTCAGGAGTTTGAGACCAGCCTGGCCAACATGCTGAAACCCCGTCTCTACTAGAAATACAAACATTAGCCAGGCATGGTGGTGCATGCCTGTAATTCCAGCTACTCGGGAGGCTGAGGCAGGAGAATTGCTTGAACCCAGAGGCGGAGGTTGCAGTGAGCTGAGATCATGCCACTGCACTCCAGCCTGAGCAACAGAACAAGACTCAGTCACGGAAATAAAATAAATATATATTAATGCTTGAACCTAGAAAGTTAAGGCTGCAGTGAGCCATGATGGTACCACTGCATTGTAGCCTGGGTGACAGAGCAAGACACTGTTTAAAAAAAAAAAAGTATCCAGAGTGATAATGCTGTGGGGAAACCCACATAAGCAAATATTTGGAGTATGTCACAATTCTTCATGAGCAGAAGTTATGACTTATGTACTAGCATCCATCCATTCATTCAACAATTCACATCCTTCTTTATCAAGTTACTCTGACATGGGTACAAAGATAAATAACGCATGATCTCTGCCATAGAGGGGTTCCCAGTCTATTTAGGGGACAGTTTATAATATGTTACTCTAGGGAGGTAAACAAAGTGCAGGTTTTGGGTGCTAAGACCTAAGGAAGGACCTTGGCACAGCCATAAAGCGGCTGAAGAATGTGTAATGTTTCAGCAGTGGCCATCGTGGCTAAGTGTGAGAGGTGTGACAGGAAGTGAAGCTGGACAGTTACTCACAGGACAGAGTAGTAGTGTGGACTAGAGCTCAGCTAAAGTGGCGCAGGCTAATTAGGAAGTAAATTTTTTATTCCTTCTTGGTCATTCCTATCCCTGGTGTAGTGTGTGATTTTGGTGAATGGTCTCAATCATCATCATATGATCAAACAATGGTAACACCAACTGGCTTTTGTTTCTACCTCTGTAGTATGTATGAACAGTTTTTGTGGATTGCCTCCTTTGAAGCTCAGAGAGGTGAAGGGGATGCGCTCAAGGTGTTATGTCTTTTTTTTTGAGACGGAGTTTCACTCTTGTTACCCAGGCTGGAGTGCAATGGTGCGATCTCGGCTCACCGCAACCTCCGCCTCCTGGGTTCAGGCAATTCTCCCTCAGTCTCCCGAGTATCTGGGATTACAGGCACACGCCACTATGCCCAGCTAATTTTTTGTATTTTTAGTAGAGACAGGGTTTCACCATGTTGACCAGGATGGTCTCGATCTCTTGACCTCATGATCCACCTGCCTTGGCCTCCCAAAGGGTGTTATGTCTTCTAAGTGACAGAGGTGGGATGAAACTCCATCTCCTAACCTGGGATCTTATATTCTCAATACTGTCAGCCTTTCAAGTTATAAAGCTTCCTTATAAGTGCAAAGAACTCTAAAGCTATAAAAGCTCTCTAAGCAGTAGCAAGTGAAACCTGTTTTTTCACTTGGAGTTTTTCTGTGTTGTGATTGGGAGCTAGAAATATTACAAGCCCTAGGAAAAAAAAAAAATTTAGCTACTAATCTTAGCTCTTCAATTGAGTCTGTTCAGCAAAGCCCTGGATTCCAGGTTTTATAAAAAGTGACTCTAAAATTTAAAAACAGGATGCTGCCTATTTCTCTTGTCAGTGTACAAATGTCATCATGCTGAGGGCACCTTCCTTTACATCCCATTCACCTGTCCATCCCTTATGGGATTTTAAATACCTTTTGAATGCAGGTACAGGTTGAGCATTCCTAATCCAAAATTCCAAAATCTAAAATGCTCCAAAATCTGGATTTTTTTTTGAGATGGAGTTTCGCTGTTGTTACCCAGACTGGAGTGCAATGGCACAATCTCCGTTCACTGCAACCTCCGCCTTCTGGGTTCAAGCAATTCTCCTGTCTCAGCCTCCCGAGTGGCTGGGACTACAGGTGCACACCACCATGCCCAACTAATTTTTGTATTTTTAGTAGAGATGGGGTTTCACCTTGTTGACCAGGATGGTCTTGATCTCTTGATCTCGTGATCCACCCGCCTCGGCCTCCCAGAGTGCTGGGATTATAGGCGTGAGCCACCACACCCGGCCCAAAATCTGGATTTTTTTTTTTTTTGCCAATCAGTTTGAGCTTATGAGGTTGCTCAGGTTAGCCTTGAACTGATGACCTCGCCTTCGCGAGCGCCATGACCTCCGGCGGGAGCCACTTTGGACCCCTAAAATCTGGATTTTTTTGAGCGCTGACCTGATGACACAAGTGGAAGATTCCATTCCTGACCTTATGTGATGAGTCACAGTAAGACACAAGTGTACAACACAGTTTACTTAGTGTCCCCAAGGGAAACAAAAAAAGACCCATGTAACCCCCTTCTGCTGTGATTTTTGTTTCATGTACACCCATATTTCCCCATGCAGGCATGCCCACGTAGGATAATAAAATGGCACATGTGCAGGCTGGACTCTCTAATGGTAGGTTCCCCATGATGCCCCACATTGGGTCAAGATCTACATGCAGTGCTCACTGTGTTTTTTGTTTGTTTGCTTATTTTCTGCTCCATGGTATAAAATTATTATTTAAAATGTCAAAAAGCTCTGGAGATACCCCATGGGTAACAATGACAAGAACTAGAGGAAGCATTTATGTTAATCCACAGCACAGAAATTTTAGCTGTTGGAGAAACTGGACAAGGTGTGTGAAACCTCTTATGGAAGAGAATGGGATAGGGATGATTATATGTGACCTGAAGAATCAGAAGGATGCACTGTCGAGGTTCCATGCTGAAAGTGATGAATAGAAGTTAATGAAAAATAGGAAAACAAGAAAAGACCTATTCACGATGAACTAAAAACTGAAGGGAACTGTGATATTCAACAGTCTGAAGAAATTTAAGAAAAAACACAGCATTAAATTGTTAAAGATTTAATCATAAGAAAGAATCTGCTGCTCATGAGGCAGCAGAGAATTTTTTTTTTTTTTTTTTTTTTTTTGAGACAGGGTCTTGCTCTTGTCACCCAGGCTGGAGTGCAATGGTGCAATCTCAGCTCACTGAAACCTCCACCTCCCAGGTTCAAGCGATTCCCTGCAGCAGAGAAATTCATTGACGAGTTTGCCAAGGTCATAGCTGATTAAAATCTGACGTCAGAACAAGTCTATAATGCTGATGAAACATCACTGTTTTAGTATTATTGCCCCAGAAAGACACTGACTACAGCTGATGAGACAGCCCCTACGGGAATTAAGGATGCCAAGGACGGAATAACTGGGCAGGGATGTGCTAATGCAGCTGGCATGCATAAGGGTAAACTTGCTGTGATAGGCAAAAGCTTGTATTCTTGGCTGTTTTCAAGAAATTAATTTCTTACTACTCCATTATGATGCTAACAAAAAGGCATGGATCACCAGGGATTTCTTTTCTGACTAGTATCACAAACAGTTTTTACCAGTGGTTGGTTAGTGCTGATTCAGCTGGACTGAATAACTACTGCAAGATAATGTTTGTTATTCCTCGACCACTGTCCTGCTTATTCTCCTGCTGAAATTCTCATAAAAAATATCATTTATGCCATATGCTTTCCCCCAAAATGTGACTTCATTAATTCAGCTATGTGACCAAATATCAAATGAAGAGTAATTATAAGAAAGCTTTTTTTCCTTTTTTTTTTTTTTTTTTTTGAGATGAAGTCTCATGCTGTCGCCCAGGCTGGAGTATAGAGGTGTGATCACGGCTCACTGCAGCCGCCTCCCCAGTTCAAGCAATTCTCCTGCCTCAGCCTCCCAAGTAGCTGGGACTACAGGTGCACACCACATCTGGCTAGTTTTTTATTTTTAGTAGAGGCCGGATTTCAACATGTTGGCCAGGCTGGTCTTGAACTCCTGACCTCAGGTGATCCGCCCACCTCAGCCTCTCAAAATGCTGGGATTACAGGTGTGTGCCCGGCCAAAAAAACTTCCTTGAAAAGCATACTAGCAGCACTGAACAGAAGCATGAGTGTAAAAGGTTTTTAGAAGGAGTTCGGCATGAAGGATGCTGTATATGCTTTTTCCAACACTTGGAATACAGTGACTAAAGATATAGTTGTGCATGTGTGGCACAACTTCTGGCCTGTGACAATGTTCAGTGAGGATGATGAACAAGGTGGTGACTTTGAAGAATTCGGTATGTCAAGTGTCAAAGTGCATACTGACCTCACATATGCAAGAAATATACCTTCAGAATTGATGAGTAAGCTGCAAGAAGTGGATATAAAAGAAGTTTTTAACATTGATAATGAGGCTCCAGTGGTTCATTCTCTGAATAATGGTGAAATAACAGAAATGATTCTGAAGCAAAGTGATTGTGATAATAGTGACAATGGGCTGGGCGCGGTGGCTCACGCCTGTAATCCCAGCACTTTGGGAGGCCGAGGCGGGTGGATCACGAGGTCAAGAGATCGAGACCATCCTGGTCAACATGGTGAAACCCTGTCTCTACTAAAAATACAAAAAATTAGCTGGGCATAGTGGCGCGTGCCTGTAATCCCAGCTACTCGGGAGGCTGAGGCAAGAGAATTGCCTGAACCCAGGAGGCGGAGGTTGCAGTGAGCCGACATCGCGCCATTGCACTCCAGCCTGGGTAACGAGCGAAACTCCGTCTCAAAAAAAAAAAAAAAAAAAATAGTGACAATAAAGATGTTGTTAACACTGCAGAAAAAGTGCCTCTAGATGGCATGGTGAAAATGTGTGATGGGCTTATTTGTCGAGGGACTAGAGCAGGGTGCACTCATAACAAAGCAAGAAATCATGCTAGTTATAAAATCAAAGAGACTGCCAGGACAAAAACCAATGCTAATGAGGTAGATAACTCCCGAGGAAACATTTTAAAACGCCACCCAGCAGAATACCTCCTCATTTCTAGAGGACCCACTTCCTTGTCCCTCAACTACTTCTGATGTTTCTTCTCATCTAAAAAAGTAAAATATAATACTCAGTAACCTTTAAATCAAAATACACCATCATAGGTGGAGACCAAAATCCTGCTGTTACCTGTTATTATTATTTTTTTGAGAGACAGGGTCTCACTCTGTTAACAGGCTGGAGTACGGTGGTACAATCTTGGCTCACTGCATCCTCTGCCTCCCAGGTTCAAATGACTCTCATGCCTCAGCCTCCTCAGTAGCTGGGACTACAGGTGCATGCCACCACACCCAGCTCATTTTTGTGCTTTTAGTAGAGACAAGGTTTCACCATATTGGCCAGGCTGGTCTTGAACTTCTGGCCTCAAGTGATCCGCCTGGTGGAGGTGGAGGTTGTAGTGAGCCGAGACTGTGCCAGTGCACTCCAGCCTGGGTGACAGAGCGAAACTCCGTCTCAAAAAAAAGAAGTACAAAATTACTTTCAGGCCATGTAATGTGAAACAAAGTTTGTGTTCATATTTGGGTCCCATCCCCAAGATATCTTATTGTGTATACGCAAATATTCTGAAATCTGAAGAAATCCAAAATCCTAAACACTTTTTGTCCAAAGTATTTCAGATAAGGAGTACTCAACCTCTTCAGTGTTTTGTTCATTTCCTTGCTTCCCCTCCCCTCAATTGTATTCTCATCCCTATCCTCAGCTCCCCCTCCCCACCCTCTTTTCACTCTCAGTAGGCCCTTAATGAATGTTTAAATGTCCAATGTCATTTTAGCATCAGAAAGGGAATCTTTTTATTCAATTCTAATTGTCTGTGGTGCTGACATACATTATGAAATCTCTATATTAATTAGCTCATATAGCATACGTGCTCTATGGCTTTGGGACATAGTTATAAGAACATTAGAGAATTACATTAACACTTCCCACACTTTAATAAGCTGTGTATTGAATTCTAAATCTAAATGCTTGGAATTTAAAAGTTAGTCTTATTCTAGGAAAATGCAATATTAATATTTTAACAGTAAAGACACTACTTGGGAGCAGAAGAAATTTAATATTCATTATAGAATTTTTAATCCCTGAGGAGATAATTTACTATAGATTTTAAAGGTCTTTGAAGTCTTTTGTAAATCTTCCTTGTTTTTCTTTTTCAAAGTATCTTCTCTTTGGCTCATTTTTTTCTCTTTCACAGGTTTCTGATATCTGATTAACACCTTGGCCTTACAATTCGGTTTTCCATAAACTTCTGTGCAGAAATCTAGGGAATCCAAAAGAACGTGGGAGTGCTGATCTCCCTGCAGTCTGAAGCCTGGAGAAACCGTCTGGAAGGCTATAGCTGTTCATCTCACAGGAGCAGATGTTGTCCCTCCCCAGGGAGTTATTATGGGTTGGAAGAAATGGGAAAATGAAAATAACTTATTTTGTGAATGTTATCAAATATGATAAGCACCAGCCAGTTAGAGCTCTGAATGAGTAAGTATTCTTTACTGATAGAAGCAAAAGCAAATGAACATTATGGTTTTCTAAATACATTCAGAAGCAAATAATTTGAGCAAAAGCACAGACCTAATTGGGTCACAGATGATAGCATGTGGGAAACAGTCCTGGAGAAGTAGAAAGTGTGTTGCTAGGTCAGCTCAGCTGGTTGTCATCTGTCAACCCTACCCCTAGCCATGGCTTTGCAGACTTCTCTAGTAGGCTTCCTCCTTTCCAAGGTGGCTAGGCAGAGAGTCACAGAGATAGTGATCTAAGATCCCTTAGGATGCTTATGGGACCTGCTTCTGTGGGTGAAAAGCCAGTCAAGGATAGGACCGGAGAGGAACCGAAATACTTTCCTGCTGAGCTATCTGCTAGCCCCTTTTCAGTCAGCTAGCCGGAGGTTTCTTGCTGTTTTAGCACAGTAGATTTACCTTATGGTTAAATGCGGTTCCATTTCAGAAAAGGAAACATAACAGCAGATAGCGACCACAGAAGTGATAGCCTGATGAAAAAGAATAATCTTGGGTATAGTGTAAAGGTAAAAACTATGAAGTTTTTTAAAAATAAAAAATTTCGCTTGCATACACTCTCTTTGAAAAATTTCACTTGCACACTCAGCCATTTGCTAGTTGAAAAAATATAATCAAACACTTGATTATATTGTGGATGATCAGGGAAAACATCATGTTGTAGGTGGATTTGGAGCTGACAATAAAGGATGAACAAGGATCAATAGTCTGAGAATGAAAAGGGAAGACAGAAATTCCCTGTTGAATAAAGGGCACCAGGAAAGTCACAGGATGTAACAATGTATATATGTTTCAGGAAGAAGCAAGCAGACTCAATGTGGATGAAGTGTGGAGGGGATTTTGAGAGATGAAGCTTGAAATACAACTGTATTGACCCTTGAACAAGGTGGGTTTGAACTGCAGGTGTTCACATATACACAGATTTTTTCAACCAAACATGATGAAAAATACAGATTTCATGGGAGGCTAAACCTACATATACTAAGGGCTGACTTTCCCTATCTGCCTTCCGAGAAGTATGCACAGGTATACATGGAGTCCTGGAACCAATCCCCTGCATGTACTGAAGGATGACTGTATATGTTTCTTTTAACCTAAACTTCCTATACTAACCCTGCCTTTGTATATTTCCAGATTCCTCCTGCCCCAGGAAAACTAGATATGTACTTAAGAGAGAAAAGAAATAAGCTTGAAATATTTTAACAGTTACCATAGAAAGAAAAAAATTTCATATTATATGCAAGGAAAGTCAAGCACGATGTATAATTATTCAGAATCAACCACTAAAAAGCTCTTCAGTAGAATAAAGAATAGTTATGCCAAAGGAAGCGATTGTTTTGACACTTAATTGGGAAGACAACCAAAAATTTAGATTAGGATTATAGCCTTTGCCTTCCTTTTGGAAGCTTTCCCAGTGATTATTCAGAGAAGCTGATGCTCACAATTCTAGTAGGCTTAAGTGTTGGTAAAATAAAACAAAACCCTATGGATGCATGTGTATAAAGAAGATTGACATAAAATCATTATCCATTGTTTAATAAATGACTTGAAGCCTTTTCTTGATGTTGCTGAACTTCTCTCAAAAATGAATTTTGGCTGGGTGTGGTGGCTCACACCTGTGATCCCAGCATTTTGGGTGGCCGAGGTGGATGGATCACTTGAGCTCAGGAGTTCAACACCAGCCTAGCCAACATGGTGAAGCCCCATTTTTACTAAAAATACAAAAATTAGCTGGGTGTGGTGGCAGATGCCTGTAATACCAGGTACTTGGAAGGCTGAGGCAGGAGAAATGCTTGAACTAGGGAGGCAGAGGTTGCAGGAAGCCCAGATCATGCCATTGCACTCTAGCTTGGGCGATAAGAATAAAACTCTCAAAAAATTTTTTTATATTACCCCTTTACATTTCCTAACACTTTATTTTTGCCTATTCACTAGACTAGTCGAAATAGTTTCTTTTCTATTTTTTATTTTTCTGTTGCATGACCTGTAAGAATGATATTTCATGGCACCAGAAGTGGTTGAGAAGGAAATTACCAAAGTATTGATCTCTGAATAATCCTGAGGGTGAGTGTTCTAGGGAGTTGGGAAAAAATAAAAGTGAACCCATTTTCTAAAGCAAAAAGAGGTCATTTCTGCAAAGTTAAGACTGATGAACCTGACAGTGATTCTGAGTGAGGGTCTAGAATGGGTTATTCAAAGCCTGCACCTGGTAAAAAGTGAAGACCAAGAATCCAGCAGATTACTGAAGAGTGTATCATCAGATTGTCCAGAAAGTTATTAGACTAGTGAATATGTAGCAGAGACTGCTAATTGTTTCCCAATAAGCATTCTCCCGATCTTTTTATTAAAAGCATCCACTGAGTTTTAATTGGGAGCATGATGGCTTATATAGACTCCACTTTCTGCACTCCACGGTGGCTGGGTGTGGCCACATGACTAGGTTCTGGCCAATGGGATATAATAAGGAGCCATCAGTCCGGTCCCTGGATTGCTCCCCTCCACTTTCTCCTTCCTTGTTCTAGTTCTGCAAGTGGTGAGGGAATGTCAACCAAGTAGTCAGAACCGTACCCAGAAGACGGCGGAGCAACAGCTTAGAGGGTCCCTAAGTTCCTGGTTGGCCACATGAAGAAAAGTCACCTATCTTCCTCCATGCTGTATGTTAAAGAGAAATAGGCCTGCATTTTGTCTGAGCCACTGCATTTTTAAGTCTCCATGTGATAGCAGCTTAGTTTATATCCTAATCAACAAAACATGAACTTTAATAAGTCATTTGCTTAAGTTTCTTGTGGTGTACTTCTATACAAAGAGAAGAAATGTGTACAAGACACTTACATGAATTTGTAGCTGCAAGAATAATCTTACTCAGGTTGTCCTGATTAACCTAGGTTTGCAAACTATAGGCATCAGGTGGAATTTGACCCTGCATTTTGTTTTCAGTAAAGAATGCTTTAAAAATTACAATTTTTTTTGAGTGCTTTTAGGACAGGGTGTACTAACTCATCACAGTTCTCAGTGTCTTACTCCTGCCTCTGTTCATTTATTTATTTTGAGACAAAGTCTCACTCTGTCACCCAGGCTGGAGTGCATTGGCATGATCTCGGCTCACTGCAACCTCTGCTGCCTGGGTTCAAGCGATTCTCCGTAGAGACAAGATTTCACCATGTTGGCCAATCTGGTCTCAAACTCCTGACCTCAAGTGATCCACCTGCCTCAGCCTCCCAAAGTACTGGGATATGGAATTACAGGCATGAGCCACCATGCCTGGCCCTTTTTGTATATTTCTTTCTTTTTTGTTTTGAAATAGTCTTGCTCTGTCACCCAGGCTGGAGTTCAGTGGCATGATCTTGGCTCACTACAACCTCCACCTCCTGAGTTCAAGCAATTTTCTGGCCTCAGCCTCCCAAGTAGCTGGGATTACAGGCAAGTGCCACCACGCCCAGCTATTTTTGTATTAGTAGAGATGGGGGTTTCACCACATTGGCCAGGCTGGTCTCGAACCCCTGAGCTCAAGTGATCTGTCTGCCTCGGCCTCCCTAAGAGCTGGGATTACAGGCACGAGCCATCACACCCAGCCTCTTTATATATTTCTGTTTCTTGCTTGGCACCTGAAGACATTTGAGTTACTAGAGTAATAGACTATGCTGCTGTTCCAAATACCCCTGACAATACTGTGGCTTAAAAATGAAAGAAGTTTGTTTCTCTCTCACTTAAGATCTGTAGGTAAACATTCCCAGTCAGGAAGCAACTCTACCCACAATGGTCACACAGAGGCTTAAGTTTCTTCCAACAAGTTGTTCCCTCATCTTCAGATTGTTGTTTGCAGGACTGAGAGTCACAATGAATGACTCCTGCTGTCAGGAAAGGAAAGCAAATCAAACAAGCAAATGTGAGGGAGGCGCCGATCTAATCTAAGTGTAGAGTTTGGTGAGTTTTGATGAGTATTTACACCTGTGCCAGCACCACCCAAATCAAGATCTAGAATTTAGGTTGTCAACTTCTTTTTTTAATTCATTGTTTTGGTGAAGATACTTTGTTCCCTGAATTTGTGGATAGCATTAAGCCCAGAGGGGTAACAGTCATGTTGGGTAGCATGAGAGTTCAAAGGCATCTTAAGAATCCAGAGACATGAGATGAATATAAGTCAGTGGAGGTAAGTGCAAACCTTGCCCTTGAATTCAAAAATTAACCTCAGGCTGGGTAGTGGTGGCTCAGGGCTGTAATTCCAGTGTCTCGAGTTCAAGGTGGGAGCATTGCTTGAGGCCAGGAGTTCAAGATCAGCCTGAGCTACATAGTGATGCTACATCTCTACAAAATATTTTTCAATTAGCTGGGCATGATGGTATGTGCCTGTAGTCCCAGCTACTCAGGAGGCTGAAGTGGGAGGATTGCTTGAATCCAGGAGTTTGAGGCAGCAATGAGCTATGATTGTGACCAGCCAATAATCAGAGGGAGACCCTATCTCAAAAAACAAAAAAAGAAACCAAAAGTCAACTTCACAAGGTGAAGAAAATCATACAAAACAAATCGTAGCTTAATAAATTACATAAGAGAATGTTCTTGTAGCTACCACTCGGCCATCCAAATCAAGAAATGGAACATTTCCAGCCCCCACTGTTGCAATGACAGCTCCCTCACATCTGCCTTAAGTATCCACTAGCCCGACTTTTATAATAATTATTTCCTCACATTTATTTATAGTTCTATCACCTAAATGTTCATCCTTAGATACCAGCATGAATCTTGCCCATTTTATAATTTGATACATCTCTTTTAGTCTGCAGATTCCTTTTCTATCCCTTTCATTTTCTTTACAATCTTTCTGTTGAAGAACTGGTGCTTTTTGACCAGTAGAGTTTCCCAGTCTGGATTTTGTTGACTGTATAATACTCATTGTTTAGTTTAGCAATGATCTCTGTCCTCATTATTTCCTGCAAATTGGTAACTGGATTCAGGTACTTGATCAGACTCAGGTTTGATTCCTTTGGCAAGGTCGTGGTAGTGTTCTTTCATCAGGAAGAATGTATATTTCTCTTTTTGTGGTTTCAGGCACTGTTGATATGTAGGGCCTAAATCTATTAATTTATTAAGGGTTTCAAAATGGTAATATTACACTTTGGTCATTGCTGCTTTATTGTTTCACTTGTATTACTTTTAAGAAGGTATACCTCCCCTAATCTATAATTCGATCATTAGTGTACAGTTAATTAAGGCAAATAGATGTACAGTTAATATAATCAAGGCAAAACAAATGCTTGCATTTTTATTTACCAGCTTTTTAAGATAATTATTTTCCTAATATCCTTCAAAGGTGACCAATTTCTTTGATAACATTGTAAAGTCTTAAGTTTAAGCCTATTTAATAAGTCCAGAGGTAGGGAGTCTCCAAGACTGCCTTCATTTCTGACACCAAACATACTGTTCAGGGGTTTCCAAGACCACCCTCCTTTCTGATATCAATTGCAAGTCTAGGGGTCCCCAAGGCAACCCCCAGGTTTGAGAAATTCACTGGAAGAATCACTAAAGTCTGTTAAACTCACAGTTATAATGATATTCTGGAAGGGGTCCAGATTAAAGTCAGTCAAAAAAGAAGCACATAGATCAGAGTCCAAGTAGGCTTCATGTGTAGATCTTTCATTGGTCCTCTCCCAGTGAAGGTGTACCGTGCTACATGCTTCTAACAAGACCATCACTTTCTTCCTTTTCATGTAAGGCCACTAATTTCATCACGAGGGGCCTACCCTCATTATCTAATGTAACCCAGATTGCCTCCCAAAGGCCTCATCTCCAAAGGGAATGAGAACTTCAGTATATGAATTTAGGGGGACATAAACATTCAGTTCATAACATGGGCTGCATAGATGGGCCATAGGTGGTTATCAACTCCCT